TTAAAAAACTAATGGAATTAATAATTTATAAACAATTCAACAGATATTAAATTACATTGGTTATACATATATGCATATTTTAATAACTTTTCATATTCTCAATATTTCAATCATTGAAATCAAAAAAAAAAAAAAAAAAAAAAAAAAAAAAAAAAAAAAAATAATAGATATTTCATTTTTTATTAAACTACATTGATTTTATAATAAACGAATATATATTTTATTCACTTTACTCAACTTTATGATAAACGAATGACTGCAAATCATTGAGCAGTATGGTAATTGTAATATAATCGCTAAATTCGCATAGCATCTTTCAAAAAATATCTTGATTAAAAAAATGTACAAAATCCTTTTGATCAATTCAATGAAAACACATTGGAATGAAATAAAATATGATTTAAATGTTTATCACATTTAGTAAAACGTACGTACTAGCATTCATGTTTTCGTTGAAGCTAAATTTATATGAATTTCTACAGCTTAGAAAGCTGAATATTTTAGCTAACAAATCAGCCTACATTTAGGATTACATTTAATTTTATACACAGATCAATACAAGTATTTTGAAAAAATTTAGATACTTAGATATTTTTCAATAAAATCTATTAATAACTTTTAATTTATGAATAATAGTTTTCAAAATTTTACAAAATATGAATAACACAAAATTTAAAAATAAAAATTCAACGATTTTTAATTTTTCAGTTCGTTTTACAATGATTTTTCATCTTCAAAAACTCCAATTATTAGGGATAGGCATCAATGTTATCTTAAAATATTTGTTGATTTTTTCCAAAGTGAGTAAAAAGGCTTTTAGTTCCTAAAAATAAGAAACAAACATGGTTATGATTGGAAATTATTTAGGATTTTCTTAATCGAAACAGTAGAAATCCATCCAGTGCAGTTTTCTAGATTTCATACATTTAAAATCCCTATTTACACTGGTGGAAAATAAAATCCAACAGCAAGGAGAAATTAGTTTAGAGGAATGAAATTTATTCAAAAAGTTTAGTTTTTTTTTTTAGGTAACATATTTATTTGATTAATGTTTCAAAGTCACAAGTTAAAATATGCGTGAGAAGAACCGTTCCAAATGTGAAATGGTGGTGCATTAGCAACCACTGTACTCGCCATGATTTTGGAATGCAAGCATACCAACACGCATGAATTGTGTCATTTAGGTGCCGTATATCATTTTGTAGGATGAAGTCCCATTCCTGTTGCCCGTGGTAAGTCAAATCCGCAATGGTGCATGTTGGTTATGCATGATTCTGGATTTGTCATCTAATAATGTCCAATACATCCCATATTTGGTGATCTCGCTGACCAAGGCAACATATCGACACAATGTAAAGTACATTGGGCGAACTGCAGCAGTAGAGGGAAAAGTATTATCCTGAAGAGAAAAAATCCTCAGGAATAGTGATCAAAAATTGCATCCCAACCAGTTCAATCCCCAATCTGACGTACAAATTTTCTATCAAAGTATATGGAATAAAGGTGAGAAAGCTCCTTCTGTCATAGGAAATTGCTTAAATTTAAGCCATATGCATTTTATCACAGAACATTTAACAAATTAACGATCACAATGACTGTATAAGTAAACGGATGCACATCTGACTATACATTTAACATTTACAAATAAGTATTTTTTCTAGCACTATCAGATTTAGATCGTTGCGATTCCATTTATATGTTTTAAGATGGAGAATACACATGTTGGAATATAAGCCTGAGCGATAAATCGATATACATCGAAATATCGATTTAAATCTAAAATCACATGTTCGATTTCATAATTCTTACGTTAACGAAATTCCGATTTAAGATATCGATGTTACAGAACATCGATGTTAAAGCGATTTCGATGTTAAACATCGAAATACCGTTTTTCAAAACCATTATAACCACTTCGAACTTGTTCGGCGAATCTGTGCTGTGCAAGGGAGAAAAGCGATTTCGATGTTCTACATCGATATCCAACATCGAAATACAGATTTCCAACATCAAAGTAGCCGATGTTCGAAATCGGTATAACGGCTTCCGAGCTATCGTTGGATGTATCTGGCGATTTCCAATATTTGTTCGTCATCATAATTATTACCTTGGGATGTAATTTCATCTTTTTCTACTTATTGAAGGATTCCAATTTTAAAATATTCTTTGTTAAGTTATTTTAATTATTGTTATTACTAGTAGTAGTAAATGTTCTCACGTAAAATTTGTGTTGTTAACAAAAATAAAAATAATTTTATTTAAAGTTTCACTGTTTTTTATTTCATTTAATTTTGAAATTGCGTTATTCAAATATTTGATCTTTCTATATTCTTAAATTGTGTACGTATTTTGTGTTTATTTATGTAACCTATATTTTTATAATGATGCCTTTATTTTCTCATATATATATATAATTCATAACACACAAACATGTTATTAATAAAATGAAAAGTTTGTGGATTGATTTTATTTTAAAAGTAATTTTTGATTTAAGTCAAAAAGATGAAAAAATTGAAAATAAATATCTAAGCACAAGACATTCTACACAACATTCTTAATTAACTTAATAGTTCCTTTTTTAAATTTAATAACTAAAAGGGATTTTTTTATTTTACCATATTAAGCTTAACTAAAAATGATTAAAAAGTTAATTTAATTTTATTCACACTCCTATTTCTGAATAAAAATTATCTGCTTGTTTTGGAGAAATATAAATTGGTGTTATAGAAATATTTACGTATATATATCTCAATCATAATGATCTTTCTACTCGGCAAAATTGTATATACAGTTAAACATTCCTTAATGTTATATAATAATTTATTCTTATTACTTTTTCATTGAAAAAACTTCATAATGCTTATAATCAGCTGACTTTTAAGTACCTGGGAGGGGAGCTTTAAATGTAGATAACTTTAATTCGTCTCCCCTCTCCATTTCTTTTTTTAATAAGCTCACCTGTAATTATCTCCCCATCCCCAACATTTATCCTTCATGTAGTCAGATTTAATATATTGATTGATATTTATTTTGCTTATTTATTGTGCAATGAAAAAGTAGTACTCTACTTTGAAGTTGTTCAGGGAAACTAAACAAATGCAACTAATTATTTAGCATTAAATGAAGTCTAAATGAGATATCTTGCAATGAAATATGCATAATCAAATGAGGAAAAGGATATAAATTGTTTTGAAAACTAAAATAATTTGTTGTTTAAAATGACAAAATAAAAGGTCATGTAAATTCAAATGAACTATTTTTAAAAGAGTTTGTGGTTATTTGAGCTTGGTTTGGTTTGGTTTGTCGCTCTACGGTCATCTTGTGCACACTTTGGGCTAAACAGACCGGGACCTACAGTTTAACGTGGATTCCGAACCACTAACGAACATCCATGCCACCGTCAGGATTCGAACCTGAAACCTGGGATACCAAAGGCCAGAGTGCTAGTCACTTGGCCACCAGGCCGCTTATTCGAGCTTGGAGACTTCCATTTTGTTGTCAAAGATTCAAAAACAAATTCCATATTCGAAGTTTTAAATCTTTATATAATCGATATAACTTAATATTGCGATATTAGATAGACGATATATCGATTTTAAAAATTTCAACATTGTCCAACCTTATTAGGCTACATGTTTCTTTTAGTCTCAGTTTCACTTTGAACCCATCCTATGTACAAAAATAGTCAAAATAAGAGGGAAGTGGGTATGGTACTTAAGAGGCTAGTTTCCACTGTAGACCCTTTACACATCTTTGAAACAATACTTTTCTGCAAAATTGAATCAAGACTAAGTCTACCAGAAAATTAATTTATTTAGAAACCAAAATATTTTGACAAATCTTACATTGTAGTGCTTATAGGTTAAATCATCATTTAATCTTTATGTTTCTCTTTTAACAAAGAACCATAACCTTTTTCTAGCTTTACAGTTTTTCAGACCGGCTTTTGTGATTTTCATTAACTTTTTTTTTTGTACTCAATGGGTATTCAGTTACCTTAAGCAGCTATGCAGTCAGTTTAAATGAAATGTAACTTTTAATTTATGATTGATTTTCGAAGCAAAAACAGTATTCCTATTCTGAAATTCTTATTTTTCGTCCAATTCTTTTCCGTTTAATACAAGAATCTTTCTTCTAACAATTTTTTAAGACATATTATACAGCACATGATCTTAATACAAGATATTCCTTGATCGCTTAATAAGAAAATTTTGTAATAAGATTATTACTATGTTCCCGAAAAATTCACATTTTTAGAATTAAAGTGTAAAATTGAACCTAGTACAATGAACTTTTCATAAAACTAAATTGTTCTGCTATTCAAAAAAAAAATTGTGTTCTGTTTAGTAGGCTTGGTAAAATAAATAAATAAAAAAAAAATTTCTATTAAATACCTTCTTTAAATCGTAAAAATATCAAAATTAGTTTTGAAATCGTCTTAAGTTTATTTTTTTATTTGTGCATAATTTTAAATTTTGATTTATTTAAAAAATATTATCGAAATAAATTTACTTTTAGAGGTCTCTCTCTCTCATATTTTCAGCCAAGTCTGTATTTTATGGATTAAGCAGAAAATTATATTATTCACTGTAATTTTTAACTAGAGAACCTTTCAGTAAAAGAATAAAGCAGTGAATAAAATTTATGACTGAAAATACTAAAATTTTGTGAAATAATTTTTTTAAATGATAAGAACAAAATATATGTTGTTGTTTGTTGTTTCTTATCCCACTTGGCTTGCCAAGCCCACGAGCCCATACGTACTCATGATTGAAGGGGAAGGAAGCAGCTTCTGTTGTGATGGAGCATCCGTAGGTAGAAGTCTGTCTTTGGCTCCGTGACGCTCTTACAGTTATAGGAGACCGGGACCTACGGTTTAAAGTGGATTCCGAACCACTACAAACATCCATGGCACCGCAGGAATTCGAACCCGAAACCTGTGGCACCGAGCGCCAGAGCGCTAGACACTCGGCCATTCAGGTCCCAAATTTGTGAATGCCAACGGCACGCGGTGTTCCCAGGTGGTCACCCACCCAAGTACTGACCGCGCCCAATGATGCTTGACTTCGGTGATCTAACGAGAACCGGTATATTCAGCATGGTATTGACCGTTGACCATGGCCGTATATAAATTAACAAAATGTGCTAAAGCCTTAAAAGAATGATTTATTAATGAGATTATATTATTATTTAATTTATTTAGTTTTTTTTTTTTTTTTTTTTTTTTTTTTTATCAGTAATGCATGATTTCAAATTCATTGACCAATGGAAGCGTATTTTGTACAAGATTCAACACAATTACAGGATTGGTAAGCTTAAAGTATCTGGTATATTATAAATAACTGTGCTAAAACAGTATATTATACTTTTATATTTTGCTATTCTATACTGAAAGTATATGGAATATTGCAAGGTCGAATTTAAAAGCTTTGAAAACAAATTAGATATTTAATAAAAGTTCTTCTTATAATTATAAAATTAGATTTTATGAAATGACGAAGAAAATTTTAATTTTGATAGACAATCCCGTGTATCAAATCCCCATATATTTAAATTTTAAGTGTATTAAAAATGAATCACAATCATCGTTATTAATTATTTAAATCTGCCAAGAATCCCCAAAATTTCATACTAGAAATTTCTTAATATTTAAATGAACTTAAAACATTTTTAAATTTCAAAAGAAGTACAATTTGTGTTAATTGTTATAATTTAGATCTTAATAAACTAAAATGTAAAACACTTTAATGACATATTAATACACTAAAAAAAGCAAATAAAATGAGATATTTAATCAAAAATATATATTTTTATTTTAGATGAAAACCAATATTATCCAACGGATAAATTTTAAAATGGGAACCGAACAAATTCAGTATTTACAATATTACAACTATTTTTTAAAAGTATCTTTGATGAGTGAAATAACGTGATAATTAAGAAAAAAAAAAGACTCATGGTTATTTAATAACTATTTTTGACATAAATTGTCCTTAATTTCTTAAATTCGTCCTTGCAATATTCCAGATACCTTTCATATAGTTGACCATTCCAGTAATTACTTTAAAGCGTCTACAAGCCTATAAACAAAATCAAAATTCTACTGTATATATGATTTTTTTTTTAAATTTGAATTCATATTCTTTAATTTAATGCCTAACATTCCTAAACTGGTATTTAGGGGATTTTATCGATACTCCACACTTATTGGTGTCTGGGGTACTGATCACAGAGTACCAATGAGATAATTATGTGTCTAAATAACAATAAGAAATGGAGAAATTATAAATTTCGTTAAATGCAAAAGTAAAAATTAAAATATGAAGTTGTTACCTAGTTATGTCTTATTATAATATCAAAAAGTTAAAATTATTGTACAATAAAAGGAATAAATTTTAGAAACAAAAAGCAAGAGTTAATTAAAGATAACTTTAAATTGTAATAATTAACCTTATGATATATATTTTTTTAATTAGTATTTTTATTCTTTTTCTATATTTTTATTGTCTGACTCGTGCCTCAGTGGCAACGCGTGCCGTTAGTGAGCATTAGAGTTCAGTGACCATGCGGGTCCTTGGACTCAGTCTAGATGTCGCTATCAACCAAGTGGGATAAGAATATATACATATTATTTATTCAACAATTTTTTTTCATAACTATTATTTAGTGTGATTATAAAAAAATGTTTTTCTACTTACCTATGCAACTGTACACAATGCCTCTTCTGATGCTTCGCTTAAAAAAACAGCTACATCCATCGCAACAAAATACTCCATAATGTTTCCCATATGATTTGTCACCACAAACTAAGCAAGACACAGGAACAGGGAGTGTTCTTCCTAAAGAAAATACGACTAGTCAGTTTAGAATTTTGATATAAAATTTTTAATTATAAGATTCCTGCACAAATTAACTGTATACATAAAATATATTTATAATAGCATAAATTCTTAATTTCTTTTCAGAGAGTACAATTATCGCGAGGGAATTCATCATCGAACATGTTTACACTGATAGAATAAATTCAGTCAATATATTAAATATGAAACACATAGAATACATAAAAATTAATTCCATTTTTAAACAAATGGAAAAATAAAAACATTAAATAATTCAATAACTTTATGTAACTTATATGCAAAATATTACTTTTTATTGTTTCTATTCAAACTAGTGTTTTCCTATAAGGCTGAATACAAAAAAAATTTCTTCAAAAAAATTATTAGTATTATTAATTATGAAAATTATTAATTATGAAAAAAATTATTGAATGCATTTAAATATAGTTGAATATCTCATTAAACTTTATTTGATATATTCACTTTGGACAGCTCCATGATGTAGTATTGAGCTATATTCACCAGAAATATTTTCTTAAATTGGGTTCCTTTGTGATAAAATTAACAATATTTAGTTAACAATACAATTTTAATAACTTTCTAGCAAAGATGCTATTTGCTGAAAACGAAATAAATTAATTATACTCAAAGGAAGCGAATATATTTCAAAAGATGATTTATTCTACATTGGAGGCTTACATTTGAAATATTTTTTTATAAAGGTAGTAGCGGTATACTGAAACATTTTTGACCTTCAGTGAGAAGTACTGTGTCGATTTATATTTATTCATTAAAGTACTCTAAATGATATGTCTTTTTAATTTAGTTTTGTTAAATTGGGTTCCTTCATGAAATTAACAATATTGAGTTAATAATACAATTTAATAACATTCTAGCAAAGGTGCTATTTGATGAACATGAAGAAAATGAATCATGCTTAAAGAAAGTGAATAGATTTCAAAAGAAGATTTTTCCCACATAGGTGGCTTACATGTAAAATATTTTTACAAGGTAGTAGCAGTATATTGAAACATTTGTGACCTTCAGTGAGAAATACTGTGGGAATTTACATTTATTAATTTAAATACCATTAATCGTATGTCTTCTTAATTTAAGTTGGAATAAGAAAGTGTCGTTTTAGTTTGAACAAAGGAAAAAAAGAAGAATTTTATTACTTGAGAAATATATTTAACAGAATATTTTTGCAATCACAGTTTCCTCATGATATTAAAATTATACAATGATAAGCATTTCTTACCAATGACTTTTTTCAAGTCCTTGTTGACAGTTGTTTATGAATATGAATTGTAAATAAGGGCATTAAAAGTTATGTGAATAAGATTCTGTTACGCAGATCGACGAAGACTAAATAAAATTAATTTTTATGTATTTAAGTATGCTAATACCAGACATTACTAGCATGTTCCCATTTCTGAATGTCGCAGGTTTACTCCACAGTAGGAACATATATAAAAATGTTCGGCGAAGAGGCATTAAAATCAAATTCATAGTTATATATACATCCATGCATTATGTGTATATATATATATATATAAACTTATCAAGGAAGAAGATTTAGATTTTCGAGCCAATAACATGATCTTTTGTTACGATCTTAGATTTGCGAATTTAATAACATGATCTTATTTTAGTAAATTTTCAATTGTTCTTTTGTATATTTTAATTCATTTTGTAAAAAAAAATGAGATTCCCATTCGTAAAAAAATGTTTTGGAATTCAAAATATTGAAATACGTGCGTTCTAGGATATTTCGTGGAAATAAATTTTTTAAGTAAAAAAAAAAAAATTATAATCAAGATTTCTTTTGTTAAATTCAAGGGAATGTTACAAAAAATTACATATATATTTTTTCCTGGTTTAAACAAAGGTATATCTATTTTGAATCCCTATATTTATTTTGATATTTGCCTGCTGCAGAAGTGAAAGTTTGTGTGATGCTAGTGGTCAATCCATACAAAATAAACACTTTACAGAAGGCAATTATTTTGAAAATAGGGCAAATTTGTACATGAAAAGAACTGTGCAAAATACTTTTATTCAAAATTAAATATTTGTTCGATTTCAGCATTTAAAAATGAGTGATATAGCTTGAATTGTTCGATATTACTCAATTTTATTCAATCAATTACCAATTTTTGAGGTTATAGGTCTTAAAAAATCTACTTATAGTTGCACTAAAAATTAACTGTTGTGTTATGTAGATAATTTTTTTTGTACATTTCATTCGGATAATTTTAAACAACAACGATTGATAAAATTCATCCATTTTGAGAAGAATGTTCAACAAATTGAAAGATTGCTGTGAAATTGATGCCAGGCAATTGAGAAAAAACATTTCTTGAGTTTACAAGTTCATTTTCATTTCTTTTATTATTAAAAATTTTTTGTAAAGCATGCAAAACCACAATTTGTTCAGCTTATGTAAACACACACAAAAGTCAAATGATAGGAAAAAGAGACATTATTAAGTCTAAGGTGATAAAATTTGATATTTTCTCTATAATGATCTTAAACCGAACATCTTCCCCCTAAAAAAAAAAATGAAGAACTTATTTCGGTTCTGCACTGGAAATACCACAAACCAACATATAAACATGCATGTAACAAATTATTGATTGAAATTTAATTTACAAAATGAATTTGAGTCGAATTATAAAGTATTATAATCATAATTAAAGTGCATTGCATCTAGCTTATTTAGTTGCACTGCGTTATAATCTTACCAAGCTTTCTTCCATGCGACATACAGTGGATAAAAAAAGTATTGGTCATATTTGCTAACAAAGTATGTTTACAAATTTTATTTTAACATAGCGATTACAGAAGGAGAAAAGACAAACAAATATGACGAAATTTTCATTTAAATATTTTTTTAGTCAAAATCTACGAGAAAATCCAAAATTTACATGATAAAAAAAGTATGAAATTGACAAAATTATGAGCGAAAACAAAATCAGTATATGTTAAGTACTTTGTATGCATACCTTCTGCATCTATAACAGCTTGTAATCTATTTCTCATAGAGGAAACTATGGTCTTTGTTGTACTGTTGGGAATTTTGTGCCACTCTTGCAAGAGTAAACGTTTGAGGTCGTCTTTACTTGAAATTTTATGTTTCTTGATTTCTAGATCCAGCAGGTGCCATAAATTTTCAATTGGATTGATGTCAGGCAACTGAGGTGGGGTTTTTAATTAACAAGGAGCATTGTAGAGTACCTATTCACGGGTGAGATTCGCTGTATACTTGGG